AGTCTCGCAATTTTATTTTAACACTTTTTCTCTATGGTCTTTTCTTTTGCTCTATTTGTACCAACACAAAATTTGTAATTTATAATTAATTGACAGAAACTTTCAAAACATGCTGTACGTACACGCTCCTGGTTGGCATTCTGGTCCAAATTTAGTTTTAAGCAAATTTATTTGTTAAATCTTTCTTGAATGTCGACTGTTGTGTTCGTCTAATAAATAAATATAAAAAAAACTACACCATATTTCATTATAAAAAGTGTCACTTAAAAAATCAATCTTATAATGTTAACACACATAAATTAAAGAACAGGGCTAATATGTGTACTTCAACTTTCAAATAAAGTTCTATACAGTTCCTAGTGAAAGAATTCGTGAAGGGAAGTACTGCCTTACCTATTTCTGCAGTCAAGCAGTAATGTAGCATTATTGCGTTCCAGATTTTAAGGATGAAGGTGCTGCTGAAATTACAGGCACATGAGACTTCTCAACTTATGTCTCAGGGTAAGACATAAGTTGACAACGCATTGCGCCGTTGGCAGTGCCCCTCAGATGTTTGCGATTTAAAATTCTGAGTGGCAGTGTAACTGTCATAGACAAGCGTGTCGCCTTGATATCATAAACAGCAAAGGGAACTTTTAAATTAGTAAATTCCACCGAAATGATAAGTGGTTCTTATGTAGGTAAGCATACAAAACTTCTATAGTAATCTACATTAATGAGAAGTACTTGGAGTTGATTTAATTTCAATAACCTATTCTCCTGTTACTCCTAACTTTTTACTTGTAGGAAACAAGCATAAGTGGAAAAATCGATATTGAATGAGTTCCAAATGCTTCGGCCTTGATCTATTTGTAAGTAAATGGAACTTATGTCCACTTACACTAAAGTAAGTCTTACACCAGTGCTTGCAATGCAATAAGCATTGGTTTAAGTAGTACTTATGTTTAGTGCAAGTGGACATTAGTGTTGGATGTTAGTATTTATTTTTATCAAGTTGTTAAAATAATAACCAAGGGCGTTTGTATTTAATGGTTGTATTTAGTAGTGTAATCTCTACAAAACCGCCTTTAATGGAACTAATACACACAAATTCAATTTCCCTAGACATTACCTAAGAACATTCTTGTTACTTCCTTTTATGCCTTAGCAGCATTAATTTTGTCCTTGTACCTTTCCTGGTAAATATTCTCAGGGTCAAACTTCTGAGAAAGTTCCTTCCATAGGTCTGGGCGTCTGTTGACTAGGTGTTTTATGACTTTATCCGAACCTTCCTTTTGTTTTTTCGTACATTTCGAACACTCATGTTCGAGGGCGTCTGGTAAAGTGGTCTTAAGTTCTTTACCGTCAGGTGTGCATCGTCCTCTGTCTAAAAGACAATCGACGTAACCTTTAAGCAGGCGATCGGATTCTAAGATTTCATCTACATTGATGTGATCCCATTTGTCAGTGTATGTGGAGCCAGGTTTGGCCCACGTTGCTGCTATACAGCATGTGAGAGCTATTACGACGAAGAGCTTCATTATCTGAAACAAGAACGCTTTTTAACATTTTCATTTTTACTGTTTTCAACTTGATGGAGAAAATTTAAAACGTTCTAACGTTCGGTTAGGGTAAGAATGATATAGAGTTAAATTTGCTGTCCATCAATAAGGCCACTATAGTACATAGTGTTATACGTATTGTTTCTATGTGTATTTTGTTTTTCTTTACGGAATGTTTTTGTATTACCTTCCTTCAAGTTGAAGTTGCAGTTAAGTTATGTTGGACAGTTACAGTTCTATATAAAATTTTCAGTTACATTTTTGGTTCAATAATAAATTATATTACACACTAACATAAAAAAATGAAGGCAAAGATTTTTCGTCCACCCCTTGCCATATTCCCATGTTCTATTATGCTTTGATCGTGGTATTATTATAGAAAACGTATCGTGGTTTAATAAGTGATTAAAATTAAAATTTTTACAAAGAGTTCTAACATATAACATTAATTCTAAAATGGGTAAATGACTACAGTAACAATTTATACATTTATGCTAATAATGTTGATTACATTAAAGAATTGACTCGATGGCGAGCTCAGGCAACTTAATGCACCTCGAGTGTGACCGAGGGCAGTATACAGAATTGGTGGCCAACCTTCTTCACTAGCTGAAAAGGCATTACAAGAAGAAGACAAGAGTCTTTCCAAACAATAATATTTTTTTTCCGTTGCGAATTTTTTTTTATGATACCAAGTGACGGGACAAACAAATCGTGCTCCTGGTGGAAAGCGACACGCCTGTCCATAATAGTTGCAGTGCCACTCAGAGCTTTAAATCGCAAAGATCTGAGGGGCACTGCCTGGCAGCTTATTCGCCTCACCTTGACACATAGTTGAAAAGTCCCCTGTGGCTGTATTTCACGAGCTCCCTTACCCATCAAAACCGGATCGCAGTAACGCCAACATAACTGCTTTGGCGGCAGAAATAGGTAAAGTGGCAGTACTACCCTGAATGAACTCTTTCACAAGAAGCTCTACTGCTACTAAGCTAAATATAACCGTAATGAAAACTACATTGAATACTGTAAATCAAAGCCACTCATCGAGACAAATGGTTTGAGTACGAATCAGCCCTACTTGTAATAAACAACGCATTTGCATTTTGGTAACTTTCGAGATATTGGCACCTAAAGTTTTATTCTCACCTAAAAAATGTCAATTACGCTGATTTCGCTTAACAATAAAACTGGAACTAAATAAGATATAATAAAACCTTATAGACGGTTGTAGATCTCGTTTCGCTGATTCCAGACGGCACAAATTATATAGGTACATATTATTATATTGGTATTTTTAGGTACTTTGTTTTATGAACAAATTTTGAAGCATAAAAGCAGGCAAGTATAAAAATACAATCGTATACTTATTGTTACTACATTTGAGAACTGGTATTAGAAAAAAATATACTTGCGAGATGACGCACGAATAAACAAGAAATAACGAGTTGCAGGAACGAGCTGAAGGATCGGTAAATAATTTACACAGGTTGATTCTAAAACTCCGAAGTATAATTATGTGTATTATAGTCAGATTATATGATATATTCTATAGCAAAAGCTTTTAAGAAACAAATTCAAGTTATCGTAGTAGTAAATTTTATTTAGTCTTCAGGATAGGCTAAGGCGACTAATACTGCCAGATCTTGGATTTTAATTTTGCGTTTAATTGTGGCCTTTTTCAAACTTTGAAAATCATCGCCGCAAAATTTTGTTTTTTATTCGGTTGTACAAATTCGTGACTGAGCTTCAGATCATCGAAGAAACACTACTACTGTCAATTTTATACCTAAACACATTTATTATTATATATAATAAAACAAACACGTTTCTACTAGGAAATGTGCAATTCCCACAGATGACCGAGGGTCACTGGTTTATAATTGTACCCTTCCATGTGACGCTGACTCCTTCATCATTATTAATTACCATCATTACCATTGTCTCATTGTTTTTATCATACACAATGATTGTATTGTCGTTTGGTAGGTCTAGTGTACGTAATTTGCATGGAAGTAACTTCATTAACATCTCTTGAACTTCTTATAACAATCAAGTGATATTTCATATAGGGTTACTTTTGTACATGGGTACAGGTGGAAGGTTTAGTTGTGGATGAAATCAAAATATTCGTAAAGAAAAGAGGTAAGAAGTAAAAAAATATTTTCATATTGTTTCCAGCAACCGAAAATTTTATATTTTATATCTCTAACAAAAACATTAATTACCTGTACCGTGATGGTAGGAAAATAATAATTATGAGAGTACAGCTTAATACAATTCTGAACTGTAATTATAAACATATTTAAATTTAAATTAAAACAAGTTAATTAAAAAACTGATAATAATTGGGGCTGTGGATAAAAAAATATAATCAATTTCATCTAGTGACAAAATAATTTTCTGAAGAAATGACGTAAAGAAATGTAATCGTGCAAGGGCTCATTAGGAATTCAAATGGGAATACCATTGAGATCACCAAGTGTAACAAAACCCGCACTGTTACACCTAAGTACCATAATCTACCCAGTTCATGGCCGTTGAAGAACATGTGTGTCAGTGCAAAGATACTAATAAAGGCACGTGTTGCTTTGGCCTGTAATTTAAACGTTACACAGCACTTTATGCTAATTTCTACGGCGAACCTAAGAGGCAGTTTCTGCTAGTCTAGTGTTCGTAGTGAACTACTTTAGGGCTAGAATTGTATTCTGTTTATTTGCAGTGACGTCACTTGAGAATGAAATAAAACTATGGTAAGTGCAAGACGTTACGGTTGAAGGTACTCAAAATCAACAGATCTGTGTTCGTTATATTCAAAGTCAACAAATCTGTGTTCGTTACGCGATTACAACCAAATAATTAAGAATGCAAAAACGATTTTACTACTCAATCATAAGTTTAGTTAAGTAAAATTAAACTACATTATCACTGTGTCGTTAACTTGAAAAATCAATTCGAAAGATAACTACAAACGATGATTATGTTATCTGAAATCCTAAAATATTCTAAGATAACATTCTTTGAATGACTCATAACACAATTTCTTTAATAAGTCTACATGTAATTAAAGCATAGTTCTATAGATTGCTTATTATTTATTGACAAAAACTCTAATATATTTATTAGTAGATAAGGTAAACATCTGTCGATAAGTATTGTTGTCGCAAATGAAAATAATCGATATTTCAATAATCTCGCCGTCACTCACCGTTATTTTCCTGTGCACGGTGCGACCCTCGTCAGTGCTATGACAATCTTAGAAGCGCCAGGACCATTTTATACTAGCTGCAATTAACATTGCACTATTGTATGACGTTACATGACCTGCAATCAGGACATATCGATTCTCTAAGACAATGGAGGTTGCTCTAGCGGAAAATATGATTTTTATTTTTCCCAATCTTTGTCAATCATCAACTATTTATTACGTGTTAATTTTGAAATAATGCAGTTTAAAATACACTGGATAATATCTGGAACGTCACTTGTTTAAGCAAGAATAATTTACGTAAAACAAGACATCAGAATAAAATAAAACCTCCCTTTTCTGTAGTGACGCATTATAGTAACACAAAAATAAATTACACAAAACAAGAAATACAAAAATGGTCATAAACAAAATTAATTATGACAATGGTCATAAACAGAAGAAAAAGAGGAGCTGGACAAGGCAAGTACTTAAATGGAGACCCCCAGCGGATATCAAAGGGCGCGGCAGACCAACGCAGCGCCGGATGGACAACATCCGACAACACGGAGGTCGTGACTTTAGGAGTCGGGCACACGATCGCCAAGAGTGGAAGAAGAGGGAAGAGGCCTACATCCAAGATTGGATCCGACAAAAGCCGCCATAGTCAAAATACCACGACGTGGGACCGTATGGGGAACTACAGCAAAAACCCTCTCATTGTGGGAGGAGGCCAGTGCTCAGCAGTGGGACTATATAAAGACTAAGTATTATCATTATTACTAACATAATTTTAAGTATTCGTGTCTGTGAATTGAATTATTTGGAAATAAAGGATTTTTATTTATTTATTTTATAAAAAGACTTGTCATTTGTAACACGTTTTGAAATTGTGGATAGTACCGGGAATCATTGATATGCACTTTAAAAAGCACGTCAAAACGTCAAAAACATAATAAACGTCATTACAACGCGATAATATGTTACACTTGTCGTATTGAAGTTAAAATAAAGAAACTCAAGAACTCGAAGGATGCATGGTACTTTGGTCAAACAAATAAAAAGAGTCGTCGAGAGGTTTCCGGTTAGTAAAATATAAACTTGAATAGACGATTGAAGTACTAAAACAAATGAGTCAATTTATATTATTATTCTGTGCGATGCAAATAAAGATCTTCTTCCTGGTTATATTAAGGAAAAACGTTTCCGAATTTCCTTGTACTACAAACGCTTAATGAGTTTGTGTACAGCGTGAGATTAATATCAATCTTGTAGGAATTTGATACAAGGGCATGTAAGCCCACAACTTTAATATACCTGTCTATAAAATGCAATCGATGCTTGTGGACCGATTGGTGCATAAGTATTGTGATATTGTGAAGCTTCATTGAATAGGATTCTCTATATAGAACCAGTCTAGGTAAATACCACCACACTAACTCTTTCTATTCCATAGTAGCACTGCTGTGTTGTGGATTGAGGGATAGGAGCATCGAGTACATGGTAGGAGAAATCAGTGCAATTACAGGTACATAAGACATAGTGATATTCAACAAACTTAATATTACTTTTTTACTTTATATTACTTTACTTTTTTTTTACTTAATATTACTTTACTTAATCTCTAGTCAGCCGCTGGTAGCTATAAAGGTAAGGCCTGAGCAAAGAAAAACTTTCATAGATTTCTCACAGATGGCGTTACAGCAAAAAGTCATCACAAACCAAAAACAAACATCTGCAAAACCAAAACCAAACAAACACATAGAAAAATTCGTAAAGTCTGCTGATTCTAAGGCCCGCCGACCCGGGCAGGATGGTGTCAGGAATTAGGAACATGTTACAAGCGACAGTTGAATGCAGGTACAACTTGCGCAAGCTTGAAGTGTACATTTCCGTAATACTATTCCATTGTTTACTCAGACATCCAAACTTGATATGAATAATAGAGTTATATTTACAGTTTCGTTTGACTCTACGGTTTCTGTTGCTCACACTTTTATCTATTTTATTATTATTATTATTGTTATTAGATTAGAATAGATTATTTATTTCTCACATATTATGTTTTATTAAGGTATAACAAATCATATCCAGATTACGAAAAAACAAATTAAAATTTTAAAATTAAAAATACATTACTATTTTTTAAGTTTATAGAATCCCACGTTGTTTTACTACCATGATATTCTATTTTTCTCTTGAAATTACACCACTAGTTTGTTATAATTATTATATATAAAATTATTAATACATTTTGTTGACTTATTAATAATTTTATAATTATATACATATATTTTTCTTTATCAAGCTTCGTCAACAGTTGATAAGAAATATACGACACAAGGGAATAGTACAAAAGCATGTGTTATTATTAATTTTGAATTTACGTTGTCATGATTTTTTTTAAAGTAGGTTGCCTTCAGGCAATGGTTGCTACCTACTCCAATGAAAATGGCGTCAAATCTATGTATATGTGAGTTATTTTATTTATTTGTTGTACTAATTTTGGGTCAATTAAATAAACTGTGGCTTGAGAATGTAGCAGTTTTTATTTTTAAATAGTTTGTTTTATTCAACTGAAGACGATCTAACCATCACAAATATGTATGTGTAAAAAAATGGGAAAAACTTAATATTAGATACATCCTGTGTTAAGACAAGATTGTAATAATATACTCAAGAAGGAATCAATCAAATTTATAGCCATCGTTAGTCTAATGCTTTTTATGGTAAAGCGCTATTACAATGTTTTTGAAAATGCCATAGTATATCAAAATGTAGAATAACATATTTACTAAAAAAACCCACCTCAAAAGTTTATTCATACGTTTTCGCTGTTTTATTTTCATTGGATTTAAATTCAATGAACCGGATTCATTCTCTCAACACTCTTAGAGCCAAATTTGAATGGGGCCATTACTGAGGTACCTCTTTCCACCA